TGGTGATTAAGTCCAAGGGGGACCCTTTAACGACTCTAAGTACATCAGTAAATGTTACAATATTAACAGATTAGAGGATCAAGTGCAACCAACGGAGGATATAACAATGGAGCAGTACTTGAGCATCCGCGAGTATTTGAGGATGGGTCCGACACGCGGCGCAGGCGCAGTGGAGGCGTGGCGCGGGGCGTGGCGTGACACAGCCGCAGCAGCGCGCGCACTCTGCGAGCGACTGCGTCTCGTGCTAGAACCCACGGGACGATCACGACGAGCAGGTCCGTACTATTAAAATGCTAAACCTCCTTCATACTAAACATGTATTTTGTTATTTTTTAACTCTTAAATTGCTGATTGCATCTTTTAATCCTCTATGTTTATGTCTTCTTAGCTTTAACCTCTTTAAAAGCGACTACTTATCGCCAATTTCGGAAAAGTATGGATTCGTTTTTTCTGTTTTACTTTCAAATGCGCAAATTCGGTTCTCTAAAAAGAATTTGAGAAATTGTAAATATTACAAAAATTTTAACTTGCCATGTTTAGAATTGAGAGTTCGTTTTGTTTCATAGGTGACTTCCGCACGGGTCGCGCCATCAACATGCGTCGCGTGATCCCTTACATAGCGTCGCAGTTCCGCAAGGATCGCATCTGGTTGCGGCGCACTAAGCCCGCGCGCCGCGACTACAAGATTGCACTCGCGCTGGATGACTCCAGCTCCATGTCTGATAACCGCAGCAAGGAGCTTGCATTTGAGAGCCTCGCCCTCGTCTCACAGGTATACACCCCCTCCCCTTTCCACCCTACACCCCCACCACTTACATATGACGACCCCAAAACTAGAGTATTTTGATGCAAAGTTATCAATATAAATTGAAAGTTAATGTTGATATACACCCTAAACAAGACGAAATGCTACAATAATACTAATAATAATATTATTTTTTCGTATGAAATGTACTATATTAAAAATATGACAAATAAATGAATACGAATAATAATATAATATCATTTGATCCAAAACGATTTGTTTACGAGATATTTGTTGCAGGATTTTAAAATCAAATACTTTTCTTCTAACAGTTTATAAATAAAAGTTCAAGCGAAAAAAAAATTTTTTATTTTTTTATTTCAGGCCTTGAACCTTCTAGAATCTGGAGATCTCGCCGTGATCAGCTTCGGTGAAAAGCCTAACCTCCTCCATCCGTTCAGTGAACAATTCTCCGAGCACTCCGGTGCTAAGATACTGGATCAGTTACGCTTCGACCAAACGAAGACTAAAATAGCTCAGTTGTTAGACTTTTGTACCGTTCTCTTTGATGAACAGAATATAAGAAGTGACGCGATCAATGCCAAATTGTTAGTAATCGTTAGCGATGGTCGCGGCATATTCTCTGAGGGCGAGACCCGCGTCATACAAGCCGTGCGACGAGCGAGGCAGCAGGGAATCTTCTGTGTATACATTATCATTGACAATCCTGACAATAAGGTGAGATAACGTCATATTAGTTACTAACCGTGTTTCTGATACCAAAGCCCCTGTTTTAAACATATTTATATTTCTGTTTTGTTAAAAACAATAACAAGGATGACAATATGTTTTATACAGAGAATTTGATGTCAGAAACCCACAGTTAAACGCTTAATTTGTATTTCATTTAATATTTTAATTGGAAAAGTTTCTGTAATCGAGTACGTTTCGTTACATGAATGAGAAGAAACACAAATAGTACAGTGTATCAGAAAGAGAGAGAATTAATTTACCATTCGTTACTTTTCCAGGACTCAATAATGGACATCAGACGCCCCGTAATGGATCCTGTGACAAATACCCTGTCCGGCTTCGTATCCTACCTTGACGCGTTCCCCTTCCCCTTCTACCTGCTGCTACGGGATCTCGCTGCATTGCCCACTGTGCTCGGGGATGCACTACGACAGTGGTTTGAGTTGGCAGCCAATGTATCCAGTTAACTGAACTAGGTAAGGCATTTGAATTGGCACGCCGAGCAAAAGAGTCTTCTTGTATCGACGTGCCAAATCAAATGATGCACGTACTTTTGTAGTATTGTAAGGTATTTTCTTTGAAACGATACTAAATATTGCACTTTTAATGAAAAGGGAACTTAAGACGATGGATTAGGAGTGTCAACAAGAGAGGTTGTGAAAAGTATGCAAATCTGTTATGTAATTTTCAATGTACTAAGATTTGAGTTTATTCACACCATATTTGAATTGTCTTGTGTTGATGTCTTTCATTTTTTTATGTTAACTATTAATGTAATCAATTTTTAAAAGTACAAAACTGTATCAGAAATATCTAAATCTATAATTTTTATAACGTGGGCCAACATGTAGCTAGATTTTTTTTAATATCTTTTTGTCATCATAATAAAAACTTTTATGCTTTTTAAATTAGGACATTGAATCAAAAAAAATATATATAAATCTAGTTGAAAAATATATAAAAAAACTCATGATCTGTGATTGCATATATTTTGCTTTATCTATGGTTTATAATAAATAGTATAAAAATGCAAATATAAGACAATTTAGATCATACATTTAAAATAAAGAAAGAAATAGGATCTTTGTTTGAATTCTTACATAAGTGTCCGTTAGATTGTAAGTATACAAGAACATAAAGTACGAGAAGTTTTTTGTGTTAATATCATGATTTATCATGTAATGACGAATTATTTCCATGTTTTGACGTAAGCCATGTTTTTTTAAACGAATTATGTATAGTTTTTTTTTGTATTTCGTTAAATGCAATATTAAAAATATTATATAGATAACAAAAGTGAAGAATATCTACTTAGTGTTATTTTATTCGATAAACTGTGTGATAATAAATCATTGAAATATATCAAAATTGCTTTTAATTTTGACGAACTGTGTTCCTCCATTTTATCATTGATTTCGACCCATGTAAAAATATTGTTCTGTTCCCTCAAAGAAAATGACAGGGATGACAAAATGTTTTGTACAAATAAAAAAGCAACAAAATCACACATGAAAACAATTAATATAATAAACGTTTTTTTTATTGTAGAGGTTCATAATCGGTCATGTTCTGAAGTTGTAGGAAGCTTAACACCAAGGAAAAGGAGGAAAGGCGTTAGGAAATTGAAACAAAATATTTGTTTATAAAAATATTGTATATTTGTCAACCGAAAAATGAAACAATATTGTAATATTTCGCTTAGCAATACTTTGGATAATTAACAGAAACAGGTCTTAATATATGTTAACATTTATCCCTAAGGTTACATAATGATTATAAATAATTTTATATTACCGACATCAAACGCACTTCGACAAGTAACGTTTCTTCGCCCTTAAATAACTTACAAAAAATATTGTTCCTAAATTGAAACGAATTTTACAAATTTTTCAATGCACCTCTTAGTAACTAAATTTCTAATATACATATATTTACAGCATTCGTTTATAAATATTCCATTACAGTATTTGGACATTTTTCTTTTCTTTTATTGAGTCCAAATGGAATTAAATATTCAAAAAAGATTTTTTACTCATTCGAGTTATTTTTTTCTTTTTAATTGTGACACATGGTTAGGTTAGCTCATATCATTTTTTTTTAAATGCGATAATTATAAATTTTGGATCTTAAATATGTGATACGACAAAGTAGTAACGTGAATATTTATAAACCAATCTGTAAAATTTAACAATCCAAAGAATTAAAAAACTATTGTAAAGTTTATAATAAAATATACTAAATCATAAAAATATTTAATATGCTGACATAATGTATTAAACTAAACGAGTGGTTAAATTATGTTAGAACCGATATAGGATCTAAGGAAAGATGTGTAAATAAATATGAATACAAAAAAAATCGATTAACCGTGGGTTTCCACTGCTTAAAGACTGATACAAAAACATTGTCATTTTCTATTAGAGGTATTGTAAAATGTTCCATCACATGGAAAAATAGTTCTCTTTACTTTCCTTGTATAATACAAGGGACAAAAGTGCTCGATTCTCTCCCACTGATGCGATGCGCCACTTTTCCTTCCGGTGACCTAGCAACTTTATTATCAAAGTGTTTATAAAAAGACACACCGAATATGGAGTGGAACTTTTCATCCAGGTGAGAACAAAATCCAATACGGACCTTGGGAGGAAAGTAAGACATTATCACCCGTAATTGTTATAAGCCGTGTTATAATATATGTGCGCGTGCCGGAGGCCTTATTTTATTCCTCTTTCCCTTCCACCTTTATAAGGGAAAGAGAAGTGGATTAGACGGAGAAAGGGACGTATAGGAAGGGGAAATATTCTCTTTCTGTACGTCCCCTCCCACGTAGATTAAAGGTAGTTAATGCATCTGCAATTGTGGGTGTCTTTGGACAGCGATTGCTTTGCTATTTCGGAGAATTTTGGCTACTCTTTTGCCACCTTTTAAAAAAACGTCTTACTTTTCTCCCCAGGCGAGTAACATACTATTTTGTACACATTTTTCAGCAATGAACTCCAACGGTTATATTATTATTGCCCGACGACATGTTTGAGCGTGTTTAAAGCTGTCCCGAACAAAACTTTATTACAACTTACATTTAAGAGAAAAAAAAACATCTTTATATATCACTGAAACAATCTATGGTCTGTTCCTTCTAGAAACATCTTTCATAAGTCTGTTAAAAGTAATTTGGGCAGATTTACAGGATTTTATTTTTTTGCATAGATTTTGAAAACAAACAGACCATAGAGTTATTCTATTTCTAATGTATATTGAAGGCCATATTGGTGAATTATTATCGAGACCGTTTATAAACTGACTACATTGGACCCGTTTCACTACATCTTGAAGAATTATATTTAATTCAGACACATTTAATGCTTAATATTTGTCAAAAAATATAAACTCTGTTTCCACTAAACTGTACCGTTATAATGGTTGATAAAAATGAAGGTCATGCAAAATGCATTTTTTTCCTTTGTAACATGCATTTTCTGTCGTTAAATGCATGTTACAAAGGAAAAAAATGTAACATAAAATTCCAAATAATCTAAAATTTGTAGTAAAAAACTTATATTTTAGTACGAAACCTGTTAATTACCTAATAATTAATCAAGATGCAGTACAATGGTTTGACATAAGGAATTATTGTTTTAAATTGCATGTATTTAATACTTATGTATAATGTATGAACCCTATGAATGATGTCGTTCATTCGGTCTCGTTCACTTTGTTTCCTTGGACGAATGATTGTTGGTCTCTTCAGTCTTTTCGCCGTCACCGTAGAACTTTGGCTGTAATATACAAATTTAGACTTTATTCATACTGCTTAATAGATCATTTTTGTTTACTCGACACTTCGAATCAGAGGGTCTTTAAACAAAAAAAAACTAGGGAATAATTTCTAAACTATTATTTTAACTGGTAACTTAATTATTGATTTTGAATCAATTTATCTTAATCTTTTTTTTCACACAACAAAAACTGCAAATATTTTATTGGAATTTCGTTGTGATGGGATCAAAATTATTTTGCCATAAAACGAAATTTAAAAATTTTATTGTAAATATTTGTAAAGCAAGAGCGAAAACGACAAACGAAAAAGCACGTCATTTCAATCAAACAATACAAATGTTTAATGAATATGAAAATATTACTAAAATACTACTAAAAACATAATTAAAGTGTTGTCGACATGTTACACTATCAAATACTATGTTAAAACTAAACAGCAATAATGGAGCACATGTTATTTTTAAACAGTGCTGTGAAAAAAGTGAGAAAAACACTGAAGTAGTGAAAAAATTGTAGTATTTTTTAAAATTAGTAAAAAAAAACAAATTAAAAAACACACTAAGATAGTTATGAGAAAATAATCTATATACAACTAAATAAAAATAAACCGTTATCTAAAAATAACATTTGTATATTTACAATGGTTATTTGCGAACAAAACCTGAGCAACATATGAACACTAGCATAACTATGGGTTTACATGCCGAAAGTAAACAAAAAGCATATCGCTATCCCTTTCAGATGCTACGAAAAAAGAGACAACAATACATCTTCATACAAATAATTCAGCAATGGAAAACCACTTTAAAATATAAGAGGTGAAACAAACAAAATCACACATGAAATGTAAAACAAACGTGTGATCAAACATACAAGACTTACACGGTCACAATTGCTACTATACGGTTGTCACTTTATTGGTGAATCCATTTTTGACACCGTTATAACTTGTAAAACCCTAGAAATAAATAATTATACATTTGATAAACGATGAATACTTTATTAGTGAGAAAAACTTTAGTTTTGAAGCATTTTATTGGGTATTTGAAGAATTACTTATATAATGAAAGTAATTTAAACTATATGTAACGGAATCTGTGAAATAAAGTTATATTTAATATCACAACTCAGTGTAGGTGAATGATTTCTTATCTTCAGATAAGTATAGGAACAACTTCCGGAACAACTAAATTTTATCGAACATTCCACCATTTTTAAATAAGACAACATTTTTTTTCACGAAAAACAATATGATTTATAATTTTTTTTTTAATCGAGTTGTCGTATTCCTTTTATTAATGTAGACCGTGTCACTAGTTGCAAATATGTTTGTGTGATGTTTAGTGTGTATGTTTGTGTATAACTGACCTCGTCGTGGCTGTGGTCTGCGGGTGCGCGGTCATCATCATCATCGCTGTCGTCGTCCGCAGAGGAGTCGCCGCCCGAGCCTGCTGTGTCCAATGCAGATTTCACTGTTAACCAACATGTTTCGCACTAATATTACAAATGTTTGGATGGATGGATGTTTGTTAGAAGGTATCTTGAGAACGGCATAACAGAACTCGATGAAATTTGGCATACATATAGAACATAGTCTGGAAGAATACAAACGCTACTATATTCTTTTTAAGGCCGTGAGGACGAAGTCCCGAGTGAAATCTAGTTTAACTATATATTACTAAACTGTTTAATTACATTTACAAAATTACTTGGCAAAGTTCCATGTTCCATGCTAAGATGTTTGTAATTCATAAAATAGTGATATCAGACCTGCAGCTGTATGTGGTGTGTGGGCGGCGGGCTGCGCGAGGGGAGGCACGCGGGCGCGCTCACGTGTCAGGTCGTCATAGCACTGCAGGCACACACGCAGCGGCTTGTCACTCTGTCCCCGGAGCACCCAGCGCTTTGACGAGCACGGCCCGCACACCACCGACCCACACTTGCGGCAGTGGTGCTGTCAACAAGGATAAAAACCTTTACTACACACTAAGACAAATCTTAAAGGCTTTTGCCAGTTTTACGTGGACTAACGCTGTGGATTTGCTAATTAAAAATAATAAAGTAAGTAAATTCATCTACTTACTTTTGTTCCTCCTTATTTATCAGAGAGCTTTCGTAATAAAGATCACATTTTTCGAGGTGTACAACACTCTTAATCTACAGAATCAAGGTGTAAAGTTAGCTTTTAGTCCGAATTGATATTTTCTTAAATAAATATAGACTTACTCTCCTGTTGAGAACAGTAAACTGTGTCTTCTTGCAGTGCATGCATATCGCGGCCTCATTGTCAGGCACCCACACAGCCGCATGCTCTGAGGGTGGCTGCTTACCACCTATAACACCAAGAAAATAGTTAAAAAATAACATAAGAAAAATCATACAATACCAAATCAATAATTTTTTAGTCAATTTTAAAAGTAATATAAATAAATGTGAATGTTTTAATAGATGGATGTTTGTTTGGAGGCATCTTCAGAACGGCAGAACGGATTCTGTTGAAATTTGGCATACATATAAAGCATAGTCTAGAGGAACACACAGGCTACTTATGTTTTTTTAATTCCACATGGACAGAGTCTTGGATGACAGCTATTGATTTTATAAAACCTCTGGTTCACTTAGCCAACTTATAATATTATTTTGATTAAATAGATGTGATGTTACTCTATGTTACATGCACATTTACAGATAAAACATTATTTACTTACTTTTCCTTAATAAATCTTCTATGCATTTCTCTATGTGAGCCATCCATTCTTCTTTCTCTGTGGCTGTTGCTGCGTACACCGCAAAAGATTTGGAGGCAGTGCGTATCAACCAACCATTACGATATTCTGAAAACACATAAATATAAACAAACTTCCAAACTTGGTGTGGGATTCCTTCAATGAAACATGTACAAAACCTATTTATCCCATTTATTATTTTAAAAAAAGTTTTATATCGACATTTGAATTTGTAATGATTCACTTGTAATTTATTAATATTAATAAGTTGCAGTGATGATAAAACTATAGAAATGTGTCATAGCACTGATGACTCATTGATTTTATAAATAAATATTGATATGTGAACTCAAATGAATCGGAAAGAATTTAAAAAATTTCTATATTTTAAAGTTACTAATGGTTTTTTAATTTATGAAAATTTTGTTTCTTAATTAATTTGGATATCCAAATAATGCTAAATTTATTAATAATCATAAAATGTTACCCAATTAATAGTTATTTTTGAAAACCTCTAAATTTATTTCTGGCACCCAATAAAAATTAGACATTTATTTTTTAGTTTTTACGGTTATCATATTAGACTACCAGCTAAAGTCAGAAAATAGATCTCTGTCAGACATAAACCTATTTTAAAGGACATTCACACAGCTTAGTTTCTTTTTACTCTATAGGCAGTTATTAATCAAGAATTGAGTAAAATACACTTTTCCATCTTGTGAAGAGCTTCTCTAACATATAAGGGGATTAATTTATATAATAATTTATATTTTCTTACTATAAATTGTTATAAAACTTACGTCCTTCATCTTTAAGTGACTCCAGCTTCACTTCCTCAAGTGGAATAACATGTTGCTTATTATACTTTTTCTTATTTATGACTATGTTGCCATATACTAAGATGTCATTGAAAAGAAAAAATTGACGGGCTTTTGGCTTCTTGCGGCACATTTTTGTCAAGACCCCTTCTCCCACCAAGACCCTTCCTTGCTCTGCCAGTGGCTGAAAAAATACTGAGATTAAGCTTGCAATCACGTTATTGTAGTATTAATATCATCCATATTTCTATCATGTTTATATTTTAAAGACAATAATATTTTGAGACCAGAAATAACAAATCAGAGTTGTAAACTCGAAAAACATATTAAAACGCTTACAATTAAAAATATACATTCACATCTCTGATTACCACGAGATACCACTTCGATGAAACGCATTGAATGTAGGTATAGTAGACTTATCTTTCCATGTTTGTCGGCTGATAAAATTACTACACCATACATTGTAGTTTTTATTTAGACCATAACATGGATTTACCTGACCAGAACTGCCGAAGCAGTTCTCCACCATTGCAATTCGTCTGGCATTTGCTTCGCTATTTACTGCAATAAAAAAATAATAATCACTCTAAATTGCGGTAAAGTATCAAAGTTTGACGTCAAAGGAAAGTGACTGAATGAACAAACAATAGCAACTAGCACTTATTACTTTAGGTTTCATATAAATACACGGCACAAACATAGATACAATAAGATGTTTTCACCACTTATGTTGAATAATTTAGATAATAGCCTACCTAAACGATCCACCATTATAGAAATTTATTTTCGATTCGTAGACACTAGACACGAAACGACAGAGAAAAATGTGTCATTCTCTAAATTCATTGCCATTGGAAATTTTAAGTTACCATTATGGTAGTAAAATATAATTATCTGAATAAGACATGTTCAACAATTGCAGTTATTGTGAAAAACAGAATAATGGATGTAAAGGTTTGGTAATGTTAAAAACAACAAATTAAGCGTTTAGTAAACTAAATTATAATGTATTAAATTCTTACACCAGGTGCAGGTAAAAATCTTGATACATACATTCTTACATTTGTAAATATTTTTTTGATTTGGCAGTATAAAAAATTGACTGTAAAACGAAATTATCAGAATAATAAAACGGTGGTGGAAAAAATTGTAGACACTTTCAACCATAGACAAATACAAATCATGTGAGCATTCATTTTTAGTGTGATTTTTGACACCTGCTGACAGGCGGTGGTCGATATCTTAGAATTTATTGTACGTAATTTTAGTTAAAACACCCTAAAAATGGCCTGTAAAATTTGTGGTCCTAAGTTATCATTGTGCGGATTGATTTTGAGTGTATGGGGAATCATCCAGCTGGTGAGTTTAACGAGGTATTTTCAGTAAGGTCACAATCTTCAATCACGATAATGTAAATCTTTCATTCCAGACTCTGATGGGAGTCTTCTATTATATAGAAGCTGTAGCTCTTCTAGAAGATCTGCCCCTTGAAGAAGAAAGCGGCCACCACACTGTAGATGCATTTATTCATGCAGTTGAAGTAGGATATCAAAGGGTGAGTAAATGAATCGTTCTTATTAGTCTAAAATAAACCTTCAAGGTTTAATTATGAGTCAATTAAAAGAGAGTTAACCAAGTAGTTTTACCTCTTATGTCACAAAATCAAAAATAGACTAATGTTAACATGAAAACTTATATAGAAAACCAATTTATTGACTACTAAAATTAATATGTTGTAAAAGTTAACTATGGCACAAAATACAGTTTTATGTTGTGTCTATGGCGTAATTTTAAGGTAAAAAAATTAGATAAATTAGTATTAAGAACAATGAAATAAAATAAAAATTACTCTTACTCCTCTGTACTTTTACTTACCTTTATATCATTGTTGTTATTATTGCACATCCTACTTTGTAAAATTGTGGCAACATGTATGTCAATAAATTAAATTTTATGATTTTTTTTTCAGAACTCTTACAACTGTTGGATTGCGGCTCTTCTCTATGTTATTACACTGGTAATATCAGGCCATCAGTTCTGGATGAACAACCGTTCTTCGGTTAGCATGTAATGCGCAAAAAATTGTACTTTATTTCTAGGTACATCTTATTACTATTTATTAGTTCCATTCCATTTACTGTAATTTGTTTGAATTATATCAAACAGATTTAAAAACTTTAAAATGTTAATATCTAGCTTGTTCTCTTCTGAAATGTTAATGATTATGTTATAAGATTTTATTGTAACTTTGCGAAGTGTTTTGAAAATACTTATAATTAATGTGTGAATATCTGAGATTCAACCTCGTTACAACTTCTTAGAACTTTTAATAACCATAATGCACTTTGAATTTGCTTTGTAACAAAAATATGGATTGTAATTGCGTAGTTGCAAGTTAAGAAAACCTGTAATGTTGAGTATTATTGATTAAAAGTGATCAAATATCAAATATGTACATAAAATAATTATTATTGTAGGAGCATTGTAAAATGAATATATAGTATTTCTTTGAAGTAAACTTAATAATGTTTTATTTGTTATTTATTAATTTTCCTCTGTTATAATTTATGTAAAATATAATAATTTTAAACTCTTTCAATCTTTTTATCAATAAGACCTAGTAAAGGAACTTACTAGAATTAGTTATACCATGATGAGTCTGTAAAGGCCAATAGTGTGTATCAAAGAAGCTTAGCAGCTATTGCTGTAGAAAGAGAAAGAATGTTATTTAAAGCAAACAAGAAAGTCTGATCCGCCATTGCAGGGCATTATGGGCATGTCCACAGTTTTATTGCCCATTGAGAGCTATGAAGTTAGCAGTTATAGTAAACCACAAACTGGACAGGCTATAAGCAGTGGTATCTGTTTGCTTATTTGATTTTCGCCATTTTGGCGCTGAGTAGTAACTCGTAGCGGTGGTGTGGAGTCGAACTAAAAATAAAGATAGAATAACCTGTCCATATATAGATATCAGGGTTGTACAGACATACAAATTATATTTGAATTTATTCAAACATATTTTTGACAAACATTATCCATGACATGACAATTAATACATTTGTCACTTGTACGACAATTTTGAAGATATTAATGTCAAAGTTTTACCGTGAATTGTCAGTTATTTCAAATAATTAATATATAATTAAAATATTTCCGCGATGAGTATGTTGTATAACTGTGGTTTGTGCTGTATGTTAATAAGTGTTTGGGGAGTCGTCCAACTGGTATTTTACTCGTTACTTTAATCACAAATATTTACAGTTGCCTGTATTCGTATGAAGCTTGGACCTTACTTACTATAAAGCGACTACTTCTTTATTATAAATCAATGAGCTAGACAATCCCACTTGATGTAGTAGTGATGGTATAGTGCTATTCAAAATATATGGCGGCTCGAAATGTCACACGAGATGCTCGAGGGACAGAATTTTCGATATAGCTGGGTCGTAGACGGATGACACTCCTATGGGTATGCCTTTCTAGGGACGAGCACCACCTGTACAGACATACGTTCGACCTATATTTTCTCGATTATTTTAGACTCAACCAATAACGGTTGCTATTTAATTAGTTACAATTATTGTGTGAATTGGTATCGCTTCGTGTAGTTCGTGTTATTGCATCACACCAAAAATCTCACAATTGTATACAATAACATCAATTGTTCATTGATTATTCGTAATTACAGATCTTAATGGGAATACTGTATAAGATAGAATGCATTACGTTGTTAGAAGATGTCGAGGCTGAAGAGTACGTTGACTATGACGACTTTATTAAGAAAACTCAAGAAAATTACAGCATGGTATGAAAATTAAAAATCAGTATACTTGCGTTAGGAGATTGCAAAGAACAACATAATTTTGATAACACAGTAGACGAAAAAAACTACCAATATAAATAATGACCTCCTCCTTTTTGAAGTCAGTAAAATAGAAGTGACGTTCCATTTAAGGAGACACGATGTCCAATGTTAGGGAGGAGGTGACTTTTTTCGGGTCGCCAAGAAAGTAGTAGGTCGTCCGTCGTTATTCGTGGTCGAGAAAAGAAAAACGGCGCCGAAAGGCATTCGCAATATTCATTGGCTAATAGAACCGTCGATGCGTTATTTTATGTAAACAATTTTTTTTAGGTAGGTTTGAACTGCTTGATCGCTGCTGGAATTTACGTTGTAATGATCTTATTATCCTGGCTTTGCATGCATCAAGCGCAACGTAAAGAACTAATGCAAAGGAAGAAATCGGACGATGACGAGTGGTATTGTGAAAATAAGTCCAAAGTGATTTAAGGCAGATTTAGTTATTATATGAAGAAGACGATATTAAGTTGTAATTTGTTTTTAATAAAATAATTTATTAAAACTATTTTTTTTCTCTCTATGTTGTCAGTAGCAGCCAAAGGTAGAAATCGAGATTATTTTTGTTGGAAAATAAAAGTCAGTAGTCAGTTCAATATATAATTATACGTATATTTTTATTATTTCAATAGTTTTGCATTTGTTTTTAACTTTTTACTTTGTTGATTACTTTACTTCTTCCAAATGTCTGTCGTAAGTTACAGTGCCAATATTTACACTTTTTATTTCATCTTTGCTCGAATGTGCGTTTTCCTGCGGAATTTAAATTTATTGAAATTTTAGAACAAAGCATTTATTATAAGATTACTATACTGCGGGTACTAGTAGTAGTCCTAGTGGTATGAAATACATATTTCAGTAATGGAAGTCAGGCATTCATAGAAATAGACAAGTTAGAAAGCGGTCCTCGCTAAGGTGGTCGAAGCAATTTTCGATAAATCGTGAGTTATAATTTATTTCTTCAACTTTGGTGGTACGGACGTATAAATTTTATGTAGATATATATTAGAGATAACAATGTACTTAACCGTCGGTTATCACTTCCGAAAGGTATCATGGTTTTTTTTTTATGAGAAAAAAACAATATGGTAAGAATATTTCGTTAGGATTATGGCAACACACGAGGTACATTATACATAATTTACCTGTGGTGCTTCACTTTCATCAACTTTGGCGGGTTGGTTGGGATTAAGCCAGGGGTCAGCGAGTATCTGTGGGATCTTGACGCGAACTTTGAGTGGCGAGAGGATTTTTGTTATCAATTTGCGACAATCGGCCGACACTTTCGGTTCCCGCGGGAATGATACTTTGTTTTGCACCTGCTGTAAGCAATAAGCCAATAATTTTAAGCCGTCCAAATGAATTATCTCTTGTATGTAGAATAGTGGTCAATGAGTAAAATAAAGGTTGATGGATAATTATCGATCTCCGTGTCCTTTAATTTGTGTCATTATAGTCACGATGAAATTTAAATGTCGTAAATAAAGAGACATAAGTGCAGTTTAAATATTTAACTACTTGTTATTTACTTGAAACATAATTAAAAGTTATTACTATGGTATGTATTATATTACGAGTGACGTTAGTGAAGTCACGCAATTATTTGTTTATGATGAATATTAAAATATGTATACTGTTTTTAATAATTCATTTACGGTAGTATCCAAAACTACAATGTCGGATAAAAAAGAAAAAAATAAGGACTTGAACAATATATTGGTGATTTTCTTAGTTGAAAACGAAGTGAACGTATAACGTATACAATTACTGCTCGTTAAAAAGTAATCCACGAAGTCAACGTCTTTCAAATTACCACAATGCTCTTTAAATTACGTTCGTTCTGTCGCAACGTATGATTCCGCGAACTTGTAACAACTATGGTAATAATATAAAATAAATAATACGATAAAGTAAAGAAAGGCTTGAATGTCGATAAAAGGTGTCAGAGTTCAATATTTGAGTCTCTAGGTTTAGACGGGACTTGATAATGTTTGCTGTAAAAACAATTAAAATAATAAGAATGAATAAGCCATAACTAACCTTAAGAAGTTGCGTATAATTAGTATCATCGAAAGGCAGACGTCCATAGACAATAGCGTAGAGCACAACTCCCATACTCCAGATGTCAGAATCTTGAGGTCTATACGGAACTCCTTTGAGTATCTCTGGGGAGGCATAAGCATAGCTACCACAGAAGGTTTCGCTTAATGCGTACACTCCATTCTTCGGCTTCATATGACCTCGCGCGAAACCAAAGTCTGACAATTTGATATTCAGGCCGTGATCCATTAGGAGATTTTCACACTTTATGTCCCTGTGGTTAGAATAACTTTGAGATGGGCGATGCTAGAATTGTATTAAAATGATTCGTTCGACTTCAAAATCTAGATATGAACTCTAAGGGTGGAACTTGGGTATAGAATTTACAGTATCTTGAATTTTGTAATTCTAAGACATACTGTAAATAATTCCTAATCGCATAGTTATTGAATTACTTGTAATAATTTGATACAGACCGATGAACAACACCTCTGTCGTGGCAGTAATCTACAGCTTCCACCAGCTGACGAAACCAACGTCGGCCGCGGACTTCATCGATGTGCTGGTCCTTCCGTATGATATCTAGCAGACTTCCGTTCTCAGCGTACTCCATCACAATGTACACTCTGAACAATATACCAAGTTAAGATGAGCAGCTATTATTGTTAACGTCAATTTGTTTCTGTTCGATTTAAAAGTGTTTCAAAATTTTGGTAATAGAAAGTAAGTAAAATAAAAATTCCGCATCATTACATACAGATGTATATGTAATGATTTTCCATCAGCGCGATTCCTCTTATCAGCAATCTTTGTGTATAAAAATATTAATAACTTAATCAGCTGTTACGTAAGTTGTAAATAAAATAAATATTAAAGTGGGTACGTAAAATTGTATGGTAAAGTTTTCTTGCCGCAGTAACTACTAAGTCAAGTACGCATTACTACTGCGACTTCTATTATTACGTTTGTAAAGAATAAAACTTCTCGACCTGTGAGTGGTTTCGATTGCTTGTAGGAAACGTATTAAATTTTCATGCTTTAAGCCTTTCACAACTTCTATTTCCCTTGGCAGAAACTTTTTCAGGTAGTCGCCGGGTGCTTGGAACTTGCTTATTATTTTTATTGCCACTTGGCAATTGTGTCTGTCGCTTGATGCTACCTGTGACATTAATAACTTTATTTTCTTCTCCGTCTTTTTTCATATATCATTTATCGTATATCTATATCTAAGAATATTATTATAAAATTTACATAAATTGGGTTCGAAACTAAAGCCATCCTTCACGACCTAAATTTGGTGATATCAAAGATTTTTCTTTTTTTTCGTTTTCATAAATCAATCACAGCAACATTATCTAGGTATGCCACGCTGGTATTTCGTAAAAGTGTGTTACTTCCCTGATGTAGCAGACGCGTTTTATATAATTATAACGAGCGTGGCTCTTAATTCTAATAGGATATTGTCGTCAGTTTCTATTTCTACTTCGAGAGCACGCGATCGGCCATCGCCGTTGGCATGCAGGAATTAGAATTACTATCTTATAAAGAATGCGGTATTTTCAAAACATATGGAAATTAAATTAAAGGAAATTTTTCATTAAAAATAATAATCATTGAAGTTATTTATTACTACCAGAATTATTACCAATACGGTGTAGTCGAAATATTAGCAGCTGTTAATTATAAATGTATGAATCCTGCAAGACACAAACCAGACGTTTACCTTTACTGTTGCATACGACCCAGAACCTATGGTTCTTCCTAACACATATCCATGAGTCTCCAATACTGTTAACTTTCTGTCAGCTTTGGCCTCGACCCCACTATGTACGGTCGCCGTAGGCTCTGTAGACATCTCGCCCAGTACATTTTTATCCGCTCTAACATCGGGCCCTGGCATATCACAGAAGTAATTTTATAAGTTTTGATAAACCTTTCTTGAAGTCACATTATATATAATTTAGCCACATAATATTTATTTTTCATGTATTTTTTTCCAAAACAGATTCATGATGACGTTTTTTTTCTTAAAAGGTGTTATTATGATTGACGTAACATATTTTTCTAATTATTTGGGCTTATGATATCAGATAAAAAAGTAAGCAGGCAGTATTAGAAATATGCCACATTAATATAAGGAGTTAGTAATTACTGTCAAGATCTAGGTTATTCTGTATTCGGTCTCGATATTTCTTTATTATTTTCAACGCGACACTGTAAGTTACCGAGTATAGTATTTTTAAAATGAATAAGACGTATTTGATTCATTTCTAAAAGCAATTGTATTTGAAGTACATTACTTCATATTTTCGTATAGTAGGAGTTATGGTAAACTATCCACTTTTGTTTGCTCCATGAAAATGAAAATTTTACATTATTTCCCATAAATTAATGTTAAAATTACTTAGCAATTGTGATTGCGTAAAATGAATCGTAAAGTTGACAGCTGTCAAAAGTGGAAAGCCAAAGCCAATATGGTGGCAGCATAACAAAAACAAAAATATATATTTGAAATTTAATGACTGAAAAGTTATTTTATGGTTGTTGATAACTTTTGTAATTTTAATTATACAACGGTTACTATAGACTAACATATATACGGTGCCTTCAGTGAACATTCAGTTTCAATTTTTGTATCTTAACTCTAGTGTTCAAGTGGTATAAAGTTATAAATTTTTTAATCTCTTAAACATAATCAACGGACCGGAGAAATATAAAAAGTACGTAGTTTGTGCTGTGCATGTTGTACTCAAATAATATTTTTTCATAAATTTTCTTTATATGAAAGCCTTCTTACGTTTATGCATGAGCATTTATTGTACCTATATTTTTATTTATTTTAAACAGACTTGCACACAATGTTTATGTAAAGTAGAACATTATGCATTTTAATGGTTATAAATAATTATATTTCTTTACTAATTTCCACAAATTATATCTATATCTGGAAACACTTTGAATATATGGGGAATAGGAGATGTACATCATTTTCTTTCCACAGAATATATAGACCTTCTATAATCATGTTTAAATTGTGGTGTGTTGCCTTCCTTGTTTTGGCTCCGGAGTAAATGTCCATGATTGAATGTGTACTAATTTATGAAGTCTTTTTGTTTACTGTAATTAGTTACAAATAAATTTTTGTTTGTCAGGAGAAGGTCTTTAATAAAAGAAAAATTAAGGAAATTTAGGGGAACATTATATAATTTAAGAAAATTTTCTTTTTTAATTTTTTATTAAATTCTACACAGAAAGATTGACTAAGGTGTAGTGATAAATAGTTTTAGAATAGATCAAAATGCAATATCAATTACTGCTGAATTATACTTTATAGACTAAGCCTTTGTATCTGCAATATTTATCCATCTAAATAATGATTAATCAGTATAAAAAAGTAAAACACACAATATAAT